AAAGAAGAGCACACGGTCGAATAAGCAGGTGTCTGGAGTTTATGTGCGCCATGATGCGATCCAAGAGACCAGTCGAGGGTTAACATTTAAGCTCCCGTGATTTACTTTAACATTATAAAGCTATTTGCAAAGCTTCTTTAAATAAAATATTAGGTATACTATACTCTCGTAAACTTTCTTATTGTGCCCATTATACAATGTGTAAGCATTATTTTAACGTGTTTAATGTGCACTTGTTTTGTCATTTGCAACTCTCTGCATCCTTGAATCATTAACGCGAAGCGACGACCATTGTTCAAATGCTACTTGCTCATTATAAGTAGGCTCAAACTCAACGCGTTCGGAACTCATTGTGCTCTACACTTTGCTACATGCACAACTTTAGCGAACTACATACATTCTACGTTCCCTCTTTCGTTGTACCAGATGTCAAGTGGCTCGAAATTTTCAGTCCTCGAAACACTTTGTACTACGTTATAACGTGCGATCAAGCAAAACTTTCGACTTTCCGCGACGAATCGAAGAACAGTATTGTAAGACTAAAATCTCAGATTATTAGCAGTCTGCCGATTTATGCATTCATGATAAAAACGACCAGTAGACAATTTGGGAAGAGGAGATACGATTATTCGAGCTTTGCGGCTTATTTTTACAGTTACCGATTGTTAACAATTATTAAAAAGAGCCGCGAAGTTCGAATAATCGTATCTCCTCTTCCGAGAATGTCCATTTTGTGCACAATCTGGGCGTCAATTAGGGAGAATTTACTGTACATAATAATTTTTCAGATAAAATTTTGAAAATAAATGATGTAGAAATTAATTTTCCAACTACCATTTTGTTCATTAAAAGAAATTACTTTTCGGGAAGAATTATCGAATTGAAAAATCCGTAGACAATTTTCTTGAACATCGAGTACACGAACTACAGTGAAAATTTCAGCTTCAAAACTTCATTTTTGTTCGAGTTATAAATTATATATCGAGTTATAATTAATATAGAATTATACTATATATATATACTATATATATTATATACTATATATTATTTATACTATATATACTATATATAATACACAATTAACATACATCAAACTGTAAAGACAGTAGACAAATTTAAGAACGTTTCATTTATTAGAATTATTAGTAAAAGAATACATTTCTATTTAACTTGCGCTTAACGCAATTTACGTAGAAAATTCGTATTTTATTCTCGGATTATCGATCATTTATGCAGAATACACAGAATTATCATTTATTGTACACAATTTTTTCTACCCCTTCCATGCAGAGGCGAAACATGGAATTCTTTGAATCCAACTCTTTGGATTGCAAAAGGACTAATCGGCTTGTCGCTTTTTATTATTCTTATAAAATGCATTACCGTTCATACAACTATTCATACTTTGGAATAACTAGTCAAAAGAACGTCTGTTTAAGAAATCTCGTTTTCTCGGCGGTTCCCGTCGACTTTCGATGAGAAACTCGAGACAAATTGAATAATAACGAGGGAGGAAGACTTTTCCAAGTGATATTATCGGATTTCAAGAAAGTGGATTATCCTTAGAATGCGAACGATATTGTAAGAACTACAATCACCTGTATATTAATTATATTAATTATTATTTAATTATTAATTATAATTATTAATATTAATTATTAATTGTATTAATTATAACTCGATATGTAATTTATAACTCGAACAAAAATGAAGTTTTGAAGCTGAAATTTTCACTGTAGTTCGTGTACTTGATGCTCAAGAAAATTGTCTACGGATTTTTCAATTCGATAATTTTTCCCCACAAAGTAATTTCTTTTAATGAACCAATTGGTAGTTGGAATATTAATTTCTACATAATTCAGTTCAGCGTAGAAAATGCTATAAAAATATATGTATTTTCAAAATTTTATCTGAAAAATTATTATGCACAGTAAATTCTCCCTAATTGACGCTCAGATTGTGCACAAAATGGACATTCTCGGTAGAGGAGATACGATTATTCGAACTTCGCGGTTCGTGTTAATAATTGTTAACAATCGGTAACTGTAAATATGAGCCGCAAGGCTCGAACAATCGTATCTCCTCTCTCCAAATTGTCCATTTTTGTGCACAATCTCTACATGGTTTTTAGTTAAATGCCCCCTATCTCCTCCTTAAGGGACCCCCTAGCGTAAGTCACATTGACATTCTTACGATCCTAACCCACTAAATTGTATCTCTGGTATATGTACAATGTACATGTGTATAATGTTTGAATAATTCGCTGATATTTTTCATTGGAGGAAACTTGTTTCTCATGCTCAGTCGACACTTTGCAGGCATTCGCCGGGGAGGAAGATCAGCTAGCTGATACCCTGTAATCAACTTCCTTTTTCTTTCTCTCTCCCCCCCCTCTCTCTCTCTGTTTCTTTCTCGGCATTCAAAAGTAGTAAATATTTCTTTTTTCCTTTCGTTGAGCAGTCGGCCTGTCGGACAACTCCTCCAATAACGGACTGGGCGTATACTTACACGAAATTTCAAGTACAAGGAACGACGAAACCCTGACATTTGCGGGACGAAATGATCGTAAGGCATTGCGAGAGGCCTACAATTCATAATCAGCAATTCAGCAGCAATGTATCTCGCGCGCGTTCCGTTCTAATCGTGAGCCAGTTATTTCTCGGGCTGTCCGAAAATTAAATTCCTAGTGTTCTACGAACGAGACACGAGGCTTGTCCTTTGACATATCACAGAGGTACGTCATTAAACGTCGTCCTTTGATCATTACGGGAATCAAGAAAGAGGAAATTGGAAATCACGTTGACGATTCCGAGCGAAATAGATACGAAGATTCTACGGAGATACCGTAGATCTTGATCTTGCTGTAGTAATTTGATTTTGATTACAGTCTCCGATTTTGTCACCGATTTTTGACAAATTCTCGACATTTAAACTGTTATAACTTCGTAAAAGCGTGTCGCACAATAACGAATCTTGACTGATTTTAAAGCTTTCATCTTCTACTTACGCTGTGCAACGTTCATTTTCCTGTAACGCGATTTTGCATAATGTAAACAGGTGAGAAACTGGAGACATGCACTTTCTGGAAAGTGCATTCGCGGATCAAAATGTTTGTAGATGTATTGGAAAATATTTTGTCACGATTCATCCTAACATAGATCTCATGATTCAAGCTTTTGCTTTACAATGACCCTTTAAACTTTGCTACATGATTTTTGTTAATCACTCGAGCTTCGAATGAAAGGTGTACTGCTTTGCTTTACAGTGATACAAGTTTCACGAGAGCTCTAGACGACAGAACTTGTTCCTTGTTTCTGTTTTATAAAACGACATAGAAAAGTCGTTCATCGAGTTTTGAGAGATCGTTGTAAAGGGGAAGCTTCGATCTTCAAATCCGTGGTCGATTTATTCGTGAAAAGAGATTTTCGATGGTTTTAGAGACGTTTGAATTTGTACAATTTCACGTAAACTAATGTCTTCGGTTCTCTGTTTGCTATGAGTTATAAAATGGTGGGAAGAATTATTATAATATATTATTTAATTTTATTTAATTATTATAATTATTAGATAAATTGCGAAGGCATGAAGCTCAAGCGTAGAGTCTTGAAGCTTTAAAATACGTCCAGATTTATTATGGCATGACTATTTTTAACGAAATTTTATTACAGTCGAAATATCGATCATTTGTCACAAAATCTGAGATTCGGTGTACGTAGAACTATTCACTTTTTACGATGACTGTATATTACGCCGAGAAATTCGTGCAGCAGACTTTAACCCTTTGCACTCGAGTGGTGACTCAGAGGCGTCACTAAAATTTATTACGTCACGTTGTAAGATAATTTTTATATTAACAAAGTTTAGATTTAACAAAATTGTTAAGAGTGCAATTATTGCGCGAGCCCCTAGAGTCAATTCCATATGCATAAAATGCATTTTATCATATAAAATAAAAATTCTATAAGTAAGAAAACTGATTTTATATTTACAGTTAAAATAGCTTCGAGTGCAAAGGGTTGAAAGAGCTTCTGAAAATTTAACTTCTGCATTAGAATAATTATCGCTCTCCTAATTGGTTGCACAACGACTAATATACATATGTTAATCGCCTTATATAAGTGCAATTCTCCGCCCAGACATCGAAATTATTCTTTGCGTTTACATGTACATATGTACAGAGTGGGGCATTTAAAACAGGTCACATGAACGATTCGTTTGTCTTTATCGACAGAGAAAAAAGTTCCAGACAACGGTCGCTTTATGCCAAAGGGCACATAATAATATGGTAACAATAATTTTGTAACGGGTGGAGGCGTAGAGGACATATAAAGGTTAAACCTATTTTTTTTTCTTTTTTAATGGAATAGTGTACATTCTATTGCAGAACCTAATTTTAAGTGAAGAAAAGCAATAACATTTGAGCCGTTTATTTTGAAAGTGGCATAAGTCACTTTACCGTAATGAAAAGTGGTGATTTTTTAATGTTTATACGAAATTATTTATACTGAGAAAAACATCAGTATCCTGAGATAACAAATACAAGTAAATCTTCTTGAAAGTTAGCATCCATATTTTGAAACGTGTTAAAACGCAAACCCTTAAATATATCGACTTCAAAACAAAGTGACTTATGCCACTTTCAAAATAAACGGCTTATTTATCTGAAGCATTTTTCTGCAGGAGCTTTAGTTTTTATGATGTCGAGGGACACAGATACAACATTGTCGACGTTTGGTAATACCTTTGTTAACGTATTTGCAATCACTCTATTTAATGAAGATGTTTTTGTATCTCTGTGTTCCTCTATACGAGAAAATTCTCCGAGCGCGAAAGGTCAACAAATTCTGATACAACATCTTCATTCTCGACGGGGAAAACTTTTTTTCGATTCGAATTTTCGTAAAATAACGAAAATGAGAATTTGCAGAAAGACTCGCGGCTCGATAATTATGTTTCAAGCCCAGGACAATTGAATCGAGACAAAAATAATTGATTTTCAGAATGGACCATGAAGGAGCGTATCGCGGCCTGGTAGTAGACGAGCGGTCGTCCTCTCCGTTGGTGTCACGACTGTCGTCGACGGGATCCTGCAACGTTCGATCATTCACCCTGCAGGTGTTGCGCACGGCAGGCACGAGGTCGACAGGTGCAATAATCGGGGGTGACCCGGTTGCTGCCGCCGGGGCGGCGATGCGACGATGAGCTCGCCGAGGATACTGCTATCCCTCTACACCCGACCAGAGGTTAGTCAATTTATCCAGTGAGTGAGAAAGTTCGGTCAGTTTCAGTGTTACCGAAAAAAAAGAACAAAAAGAAACGAAATTCAAATGACGAATCGAAACTCGTGATCGATCTAAACAATCCTCGATGATTCGAAGCCTGCAAATTGTCTTGCACCATTCATACTAGGTTTATAGGACGCGTCATTTCGATTGTTCCAAATTTTGTGACTTACGATTTTGGAATAATATTCTATTGGGTTGACAACTAAGTAATTGCCGATTTCAGTTATAGATGTCTCTCACTCCCATTTTTATGATATCTGTAAATGCTGTCTCTTATACACATAGATGTGTATAAGAGACAGGAAGTTAAATTTTCAGAAGCTCTTTCAACCCCTGTCTCTTATACACATCTAGATGTGTATAAGAGACAGGAAGTTAAATTTTCAGAAGCTCTTTCAACCCCTGTCTCTTATACACATCTAGATGTGTATAAGAGACAGGAAGTTAAATTTTCAGAAGCTCTTTCAACCCCTGTCTCTTATACACATCTAGATGTGTATAAGAGACAGGAAGTTAAATTTTCAGAAGCTCTTTCAACCCCTGTCTCTTATACACATCTAGATGTGTATAAGAGACAGGAAGTTAAATTTTCAGAAGCTCTTTCAACCCCTGTCTCTTATACACATCTAGATGTGTATAAGAGACAGGAAGTTAAATTTTCAGAAGCTCTTTCAACCCCTGTCTCTTATACACATCTAGATGTGTATAAGAGACAGGAAGTTAAATTTTCAGAAGCTCTTTCAACCCCTGTCTCTTATACACATCTAGATGTGTATAAGAGACAGGAAGTTAAATTTTCAGAAGCTCTTTCAACCCCTGTCTCTTATACACATCTAGATGTGTATAAGAGACAGGAAGTTAAATTTTCAGAAGCTCTTTCAACCCCTGTCTCTTATACACATCTAGATGTGTATAAGAGACAGGAAGTTAAATTTTCAGAAGCTCTTTCAACCCCTGTCTCTTATACACATCTAGATGTGTATAAGAGACAGGAAGTTAAATTTTCAGAAGCTCTTTCAACCCCTGTCTCTTATACACATCTAGATGTGTATAAGAGACAGGAAGTTAAATTTTCAGAAGCTCTTTCAACCCCTGTCTCTTATACACATCTAGATGTGTATAAGAGACAGGAAGTTAAATTTTCAGAAGCTCTTTCAACCCCTGTCTCTTATACACATCTAGATGTGTATAAGAGACAGGAAGTTAAATTTTCAGAAGCTCTTTCAACCCCTGTCTCTTATACACATCTAGATGTGTATAAGAGACAGGAAGTTAAATTTTCAGAAGCTCTTTCAACCCCTGTCTCTTATACACATCTATGTGTATAAGAGACAGCATTTACAGATATCATAAAAATGGGAGTGAGAGACATCTATAACTGAAATCGGCAATTACTTAGTTGCCAACCCAATATTATAAAGATACATTTATGGATAATCTATTTAATAAAGTTTCATTAGACACACACACACACACACATTTTATAATAAAAATTGTTAGAAATCTGCAGAAATACATGCTTTTTCTATGGAGGAACGTAGAATATGTGTTTGTTAGTACTCCGTAAATTTGGATCCCTTGTCTCATAGCTATGCTTCAAATGTATGACAAATTAGACGCAATGGACTTGACTATTTTTAACATTGGCAATGACACCTGACTATTTTGCATTGATGTTTAATTTAATTGTGTGTCTTTTTATGAAACCTTGAAATTAAATTGGCAGGCAAAGGGAAGACGAAGGAAAGAGAGGGATGGTCGATTAATCGATGGTAGGGATGGGCGATTCTTGTAAATAAATCGATTCTGAATCGCAGCGACAAAGATTGATTCGCTAGAAAAACGAACCTTGAGAAATCGTGTCTTTGAGAGTCGATTTCAGAAAAATCGCTTGAAATACTATTTATATCTATACGCATACTGCATGGCTTATTTCTTTATCGCGGAACCGGATTGTGTAAATCGAACCTAAAATGCAATGCTTCAATTTTCATACCATTGTAGAATCGATTTATATAATCATGTTCTTCAATGAAAAAGTAACTTAATATTAAGTGTATAACATTTGTAACACTATCGAGATACCAATATTATCACATGATGAAATACTTCATGTAAAGTTATAAA